ACGAGACCTGCGACTTGCGTTTAATGTAGAACGGCCTTTGAGTTCCACTTTTGTGGAAATACGGCTAAAACCAGCGGCTGAAACCGTCGTAAAAAATTACTATAGGATGGCCGCTCTCAGGTTTCTCTCTGCTTTCATGCACTTTAATGGCACTCAGCGACTTGTAGGCAAGGGGAGAAGAGAGGAAGAGAGGGGAACCGACTGTGCTGCCGCCTGGCCTAGGGCACCTCCGAAATGAACTACTAAAACTTCCGGAGCCAAAAAATACGGCGAGTTTGAACCCCCTGATTGTAGACTAGCCATAACGTAGAATGGGATTAGTAGAATACGTATATGTAATCGCAGATATAAATACATAACGTGTACGAAAAATTAAAATTGAAAATAAAAATGGATAAGAGCGCGATTACTGAACTACTGAAGTGGATTTTTATTTTTTGTCGCGGACAAAATGCAATTACATTCGTATATCGTACGGATTCTAGAAAAAGAACACCTAAATCTTATTAAGTAAGTATCAAATCGGATTATGTCTAGACTTTGCTTTGTGTTTTTATTGGTAACTATATCTCAGTAAAAACAGTTACAATTTCGAATATCAAATGGCAACTTGTAAATCGCAGTTTATAGACACTGAATTTTGATGATCATTTTGCAAAAATGTTTAAAAAAATCATAGTTTAAGATACCTGAATTTAGCCATACATTGAATTACAATAGATCTCCAACAATTATGTATACTCGCTAGTTTTTATCTTCGAGATTTATACACTTGTAAAAAGCCGACAATAACAATAATAAAGATAAACATGGGTAGAGAGAAATTATGAATTTTATTTGTAAAAAAGAGGAGTTCCGGTGTCCAACAGAATAAAAAGTATAGATCGGTAGTTCGAGAATGATGGAGCGAGTTATATGTGTATATATATATATATATATCTATATATATATATATAATGTATATATAGAGCGTATAATCATAACATGAAATATAAAACTCTCACATCATCAACTATTATATATGTTAACTTTAAACATAGTCAACATATAAATATACAGTTATCACATTGAGTGAAATGTATTGATACAATATACAAGGAATCTATACACACATATGATTAAAAACCTTGATTTCTATCTTTTTTGTTCACATACTTTATATATTCCTCGATACTCATTTCAGCCATATTGAATTATGACGTCAATAGCAAAAAATCACAAGAGTTTTTATTTTGCAACTTACGTCAGAAATTAAAGTAAATTTTTTTTAAGTACATAACTATCTCTACAAATTTTGTGTCAACTGTCTTACTAGGCCTATTTTCGCTAAAAATATACAACATATAGAATCAATAATATATCGATTTATATATACATTAATGCAGAATAAGAAGAAAGTGATTTTTCGCTTCTGACATTATAAATTCAATATGGATAAAATTAGTACTCACACAGAAGCCTTAAGTACTTTCATATACATACATACAAATATATTACTTACATACATATACATGCATAGACTCTTTAGAGAGATGTTACCCTAGTAGGTATACAAAACGTCGTTATACGACCAATTTCGCGCTTTACATGTACTCTCATTTGTGATATATATTGGGTCATTAAGTATGAAACTTGACAAATATATATACACACATATACATATATATATGTATACAGGGTGTTACTCCTACTTGTCTACGAGAGATGTTACACCAATTCTGGGAAACTCTGTATATATACATATATGCATAAATATAAAAAATATTTGTCAAATTTCATACTTGATGACTCAATATTTGTAGTCAACGTGGAAACATTGTTCGAAAACATCGATTGGTAAAAAGGGAGATCAGGAAAAACGAACCGAAAGAATTAATTCTATCGTATGCACATCGAGTCGTATCTCTTATATATCAATTATCAAGTCAATCATATAGAACAATTTTAGTGAGCGAGTTTTTTTTATTTGTAACACTCAAATTGCTTTAATATTTTGGCACTTGCAGCAAAAAATTTCTATTTTGCGCGCGATTTCCACGATACCAATATTTTACTCTTTTTCTCGTATGTATCTTTTTGTCTTCAACTATTAGGCAGCAAGAAAAGACAAACCTTTATTGATGACGCGGATTTCCTTGAGAGTTTTGTTTCTTTTCGTTTATTATTTTTTTGTTTATACTTTAGAAAGCATTGTCAAGAATAAAGGTATAGAAGAATATATTCAAGAAAGAGAAGAATATACGATTTGCATTGCGTTCTTATCTTTTCGCAATCGTTCTTATCTTTACAGATTTTTGTTCGTCTCATTCTTTTACTTCATTAGCCGAAAAAACGGTTCGATTTTTTCTTACAACTTTCTGTAGTAAACCAATCACCCTTTATCGCGTCGAAACTTGTAGCCTTATTCCCCGACTTTTTTTCACAGATTTCAGTCTTATCTCGATGATCGCTGATTTGAATCCGTTGGTCACGTCATCTGTGCAGTATTAAAACTTCGCTCTCTCGTAGTCGTAGCAAAGTGCTGAGGCTTTGGGGCGATCTGGAAATGCTGAACGTACGAATTGCTCCTAAGAATGCCGCTACCAGACGTGCTGGTCGAGTATTGAGGTGTCACGGTGATTATGCCGGTCTGCTGCAAATACTGTTCGCGATAAAGCGCCTGCTGCGTTACATACTCGCCGTTCATCGGATTCTGACTGGTATAGTGAAGTTTGTTTGGCTGCTGTTCGGTCATGGCCGAACATTCTTTTCCGTCACGTACGTAGCGAACACCAATTGGCGATGCGCAAACTGGCGTAGTCGTCTTTATTCCCTGGGTCGGACTTTGCGTAATAGATTCAAGCACGTGACGTGGCATATTCGGCGATGGACAGCGGTGGCCGTCCTGCAATCCGTCCATACGATTTGCGTTACGTATGAAAATCGGAGCGCTTTCCGGCCTGCCGCCTATTATGTTCCTCATGCCCTCGCGATCCTTTGCGTTGAGGCTCTGTCTAGAGCTGCTCAGAACGCGACTCCTCTGCTTAGAAGGTGACGAAATGTTATTCAAGTCAGAAACGCTTGACCAATTTACGCTAGCCAGTTCCCAACGACGCAGCAAGCTGGTTACTCGATCCTCTTGATTACTTGTGTCGAGGCTCTCGTCGTAATCCGGACCCTACAATTTCCAAACAGACTTCTAAGAGAAGAGAAACTAACGTTGTTCTTTAGTATACATCTCCTCACAAGAACAAACCATTGCGCACGAAGAGAAACACATCGTTTCATTAAACTTTTGAAAGATTTCCACGATGAAATATATAATGTAACAACATTTTTCATTATCTCAATATGTAATATTATATATTTCAATTATGTTATTGACGTTCGACAACAATTGTACTATCTCTCAGCTGGAGAGCCGGCTTGAAACAAATCGAAAAGTCCTTTGTCATTTTTTTCAAGTTTCACAATAATTAACGAGTTTTAATTTAACGAGATTAATTAATAAAAATTCACAGAATGAGCGGATCTTTATGAATCTCGTAAAGTGGACTTTTCGATTTATTGTCAATATAACCGGATGATACGGCTATTACTATTTTCTCGTCTTAGTCGTACCTTGTTAACAAATTGTCTTTTATCTCAAGAAAAAAAACTGATACAACAAGCTCATCGATTCGAATGTGACTTATTAAAGTGACAAAGACTAAAGTAATTTTTACTCGGGTTTATATATATATATATATATAATATTTGAACAAAAATAGACCGCTATATATCCATTTCTTAAAAAAATTAAGCAAATTAATACAATGACACACAAAAGTATTGTATTACATTGAGAAAATAAATTTTTTATATAGTGTATGTGTATATATATTGTACAGAGTATTATATAGTATTAAAGAGATAAAGTTATCAGATATCCTACAAAGCCGATTAATGTTATTTTTTGCAAAAAATGGTACGGGAAACAGGAAATTACTAGCACATACTCATATATAATATAAATCATTCTCTTTTCAGATAAAATTGATTAAAATGAAATATATCACGACTTACACTTTCAATTTTCTCGTCGAGCATCTTGAAAAAATCTAACTGACTGCTGGATATATCCCTGAAAAATTCATGATATAAAGAGAAAGATTAATTACAAACAATGAATACCGCTATAAATCTTCATAGTCGAACAAACGTAAGCGACAAGTTATCGCGATGTGTTTTCGAAGTAGATATAAACTATTTTAATAAATCACTAGAAATATATATTTTCTTTGCGTAAATAAATTATTATTTTAATATCGATGTTATAGATATATCAATCGCGGGAATGGAGTGTGCGCCGTATTATATACCTGCGCGCGCGTACCTAATTTGATTTAATTAACTTAAATATATTTTTTGTGTATGGGACACAAAAAAATAAAATATCCGTGAAATCAAAATTTGTTTTCTAAATATTAACACTTCAGAGAATTTTAAATAAAAAATATTAATAAGAAAATATTAAAATCAACGTTTACGTTTGTTGTAAAAGAGGTCCGCCCCCAGGAACATTTGGTTTTTTCTTCGCTTGTCCCTTAGCATCGAAGCCGCTATTTTGATCTTCGTTTTTGTTCACCTCGACACCGTTGGTGGTTGTCTTGTTATCCTTGATGATACTATTTCCGTTTTTCTGTTCTACGGACGACGCGTTACCTGAAGCACAAAAACAACACGGACATGAGACGAATCTATTGTGTCAGCAACAATGCAAAGAGAGAAAGAAAAGAGAGAGATAGCTCTAATGCCGTTTAGATTATTATCATCTAAACAATGAGATTAACAACTGTTAATATTCTAAGTAACGTTTTTCCGATTTCGAATAAGATATTACGATTGTCTTTGTGTTAGTTATTTCATTGTTATTTATTTTTGATATCGGCGTGTAAAAATACGATTAAGAAAACAGTAAAAGAGAAGAGAAATGGCGCAAAGTTCAACCATGCAAACACAAACATACTTAATCTTATCGGCAACAAACACAAGGATGAGCATGAACTTGGAGAGGAATTGCTGCCACAACCGATTACAGCAATGCTATTTCTTTTTATTTCAGAAAAATTTATAATTTGAACGAAAGGGCCCGGTTTCTGGAACACACTTTGTACAAATATATTAAAATAGAGTGCACGTATATATAACAGGTACGTGAATGTGTCAAAGTAACGTAACACACCGACCACGTTACGTCGCATGAGCGGAGATATTTTTACCGATACTCGCATCACAGTTATATTATGTTTCACATATCGGATGATAGATTGGATGATGTATCTCGCTATCGTGGCTCGTGGCATGATATTACACCGGAAGAATCTTGCGAAACATACATCTTCCAGACATAAATAAATAAAATCGCGCTCCGGCAAACTTCGCGAGCCCATGTAAGAAGATGCGTTTCTTTTGAAATTCCAATAGACGGAACAAGTTCACTCTTGATACAAGTTAACTCTTAATTATTCGGATGATATAATATTTTTTGTCTAAATATTTATTACCCATTTTAAATATGTGAGATTAAAAATAAAATAGACGTGTGTTATAATAATTTGTATTTATTTTTACAAAAAGTGTACTCACACGCTCCTAAAATTGATATTGCGCACCATCACACGCTATCTACAAAACCTTACCGCTAATGCGATAAATATATTTATTTATCGATAATAAGTATGTAAAACAAAATCGTGTGAAAAATTTTGAGTCGCGCTTCATTCAGATCTAGTTGATTTTGAATCTGGCGAAACGCATACGTATCACATGTATACAAGCAGAATTCGTAATTTCTCACAGTCTTAAATTGCCTACGCTTCGTGCACTGCCAATTTAACGAGACTTTTTGACGTATTTCTACAAAACTGTGACAGAAACAAAAAAGTATGTTGCACGGTACAACGTGTTGTCAGTAATCAAAACAATAAAACTTTAAGATAAATTGAAATAAAATGCACACAATGCGGAAAGAAAAACACAAAGTAACTAAGTTACCTTCGATAAGTGGTCATACCTGACATTAATTAATCATTACGCTTAAGTCTCACACATGATAAAGTGATGCCGATATATTCGCTTGTTCGTTTTAAAAAAACGGTTATTATCTTCTACAAAATTTAATGACAATTCTCCCGCGTGATCGATTACTATAGAAATTAGAAATTCTATATATAACCGGCAAATACAAGACGCAGACAATACTCTTTAACTGCATCGGGATATGCCGATCAAACGATGACTCAATCGACACTATGTATATAACGGCGATTTATTATATTACTTAAACAGTCAAAGATGAGGTCAAAGAGAAGAAAGGAAAGAATATAGGTAGATATTTTTGCCACGCGCACGGAAGTTCACGTCATGCGTTATACGCTAATAATAGCGGTCGGCTTGTCGCCGCGACACCACGCGTGATTACTCAACCCGCATCTCGGTATACACCGCAACAAGTCAAAGTCCTGTATCGAGGTTTTCTTGGACCATGCGACCTATCATCGCTTAACTACTTAACGTCACATCAAGTGACATTTCACTTTTACGTATCTCTTAGTATCGCAGCACAGTTATATCTACGCCGAATCTACACATCTCTTTACGTTATTTTCATGAGTGTGTGTATACATATGTATATATGTATGTATGTAAGAAAAATATAAAAGAATAGAAAATTTTATTATTTTTATGAAAATTTACAGCTTTGAAAATCCTTTTAATGCGGAGATTGCGATATTTACATGCATTTAATCGTCGGGGGTACAAGTGCACTAAACGTGAATCAAGCTCGCACACACGACATGATCAGTGTATTACTATAGTATACATGTGTATTATATAGATCACATGTGGAAATGAGAAATATACCTAATAAATATAACATTATTATATTACTCGAACAGACGAGCAACGATATTATATTATAGTTCAAGAAGCACTGCAGCATTCATTATTACAGTGTGAGCGATACTTTCGAAATATACGAAACATAATAATAGTATCGCTCGTCGCGTCCGTGGCGAGCGTAATTACGCGAGTATGTGACAAGAGAATATCGAACTTTCGGTGGCTGAGCTCCTACTCTTTCTCAAACTCCTCGTGCCACGCCAAAATTAAGAAAAAAGAAATAGCTTGCAAACAGGTACAAAAAGCCTAGCAGCCGCGTTCTCTAATTACAGTCAGCAGCCGAACCGACACTCCGAGTCGGTTTCACTTGAAATCAATATCGCTGCAATAATCGCGATTGTGATAACGTATCTCGGCAATCTCCTCCGACAGTTGTTCACTCATATAAATAATGAAATAACGTACACAAAAAACGCGGCAGTCGAGATAAATAGATACATGTATATCTATTTATTTACACATGTTTGTAATATTATAGTCGGATCTTCATAAAAATAATCTTTATCTTACCTAATATTTTGAGACCAACGAATCTCCGTTAAAAAGAAATCACATATTATATAAGCATTAGTAATATAATATGTGATTTGGTTTTGGCTTAATTCTTATACTTAATTGAGAAGATCAATTATGTACCACCAAGAATAAAAATAATCAATTCTTAATTTCTATTATTTTTTAACAAATAATACTTTTGTTCTCGCCAAGTGACCAATGTATTGAATTCGAGTAATATTTCACATAATATTTTTCTGGTAAGTCGCAGACGTTCCAAGGATGTGGCATCCTTGACGGGCGTTAATATATCGGTTTCTTCGACAAGAACGTTTGCTTGAGAAGTTTCAAGTAAGTTGAAGAGCGGCGGTCTGTCTCAACAACACACATACACACGTGTTTGTTTTAAAAATTACCTGCATGATTTAAAAAATTCAAACAAGGGAGCGTTTACCCTCGCAAACAAAAAAGTGTTAGCGCTGCAATTTATTATATTTTTTCTTTATTTTTATCACCTATATAGCAGCTTAAAGATTTAAGATTAAAGATTTTAAGATTTAACAAGTTTTTTTGACAAGATTTTATCAAAATTGTTTTAGATTTTATATCGAAATTGCGTTTCCTCTCTCAGAATGTAGAGAAGAATACAATTTTCTGCAATAATTTACGAATACGTATAGTTTTTGTCAATATAAAGTAACGTTTTATATTACATTTTTAATAATGTGTGCGTTTATTAACACGCATTGTTTACTTAGTGAGATGCAGCTTAGAAAAATGATAGATGTGTATGCGACGTGAAGAAAATCACAAATTGTTTTGATGCGCGTCTTAATAAATCAATGCCTGCAATGTTTTTCTTGCACATTTAATCATTGTTCTGATCATATTTTATGTCATATTCATTCATTTTTTTTTTTAAATCAAGTATCGCGTAATACGGATGTTTCTAAGAAAAAGCTGCAAAAATTCCGTAAGTTTAATCCTTAATCTTAAAGACTTTATGGTGTGATATCTTGACGTAGATGCTTTTATACTTAGCTGACCAAATAACTATATACGTGTACATATGGCTCTCTTATCTCGTCATATCAAGGCTATTCCGCCAAAACTCGCTTTCGTGACCGTCATCACGTTCCATCAAACGTTCCGATCTACGAGAGGCACGTATACACATCGTACGTATACGTATATACATATTTCGTAACACACAATTCGTCGCGAAACAATTTTTTAAGAAAGAATAAACTAAAAGAAACACGTTCGTGGAAAACAATATTCAAAAGAGAGCTCGACTACACACTCGCAATATGCGATATGTTGAAAATTTTTATTATTACGACGTTCTCATACAAACTAATCAACAAAATAAACAAAGTAAGAAACAGACATACTATAATAAGAGATATGTTGCTGGGATTAAAACGCACAACGCAGCTGCACAGGTATACTCGTAGAAGCAAACAAGATGCAAATATTTAATTCTTTTATAAAAGAAATTAACAACAACTAGAAGTTCGAAACAAACAAGCGACGAAACGGAGAGATGTTTCGCATTATTGACCGAAGAAGAGTGTCATAAAAAAAAAAGCGGCTTTATCTCACCTTTAATAGAACATCCCTTTTTCCAGCGCGGACGCGTGTGTAACCTTTTAATCGTTCTATCTATTTTTTCATCATGAAAAAAACGCTTGTAATTTTACATAATAAGTCTATATATTCGAGATATAAAAAGTTTGTGTGAAAAATTTTTGATAAATATATATATATATATATGTTTGTAAATATATATATATATATATATATATTTACTTTATATATATTTACTTTTTTTTTTTAATATATATATTTGTATACGAGTATGTGTGCGCTAACAATTAAAAGATGCGATATTTAAGAGACTGTAAAATGCAAAAACTTAGAAAAAAAAGAGAAATTAAAAAATTTAAAAACCACCTCAAGTGTAACGCAGCATTATCATTTGAGAGTTTAACACGTACGAATCTCCGCGCTCTTGAATGACAGACAAAAAAAAAAAAAAAAAAAAAAACGAAAATTAAACCGCTCACCTTTTGATCTGCGAGTCAGATTTGTTATGTTTTGGCGAAGCAGCTTGAGCCACATTCTCGCGCCCTTCTGTTTGTTCTGAAAATCCGACGTGCCGTCAACGGGAAAACTCGCACTTCGAGATAACCCCGTTCTCGAGTCGTGACTACGTTTCCACACGTTTTTCTCACCATTCCACCCGATCATAGATCTTGTGTGAATCTGTCCGGCAATTTGGCGGGATAAAATCATTTATACACGTACGCACAACACTATTTGACGCCGCAATAACGCGACGATAATCCAATTCTTAATGATACGAGATCATTAAGTAGAATACTTGCAGGCGAGACGTAGATAAGACGAGAGGATTGTTCGCACTTCTAACATCGCCAAGCGAAACAAACGTTAACGACGGAGCAAAACACAACTTTTATACGCCAGCTGCACTCCACATACTACCGAGCGCGATAATATCGGTCCCGGTCCTTGAGGCTCATCTTGTTTACTCGGCCGGAATAGAGCGAGACGGATACTGGCGCGTAAACGGAGAGCACGTTTTGCGCACGCGTCAGCGTCACGATGATCTGGGAGCAAAGGGGTGCGCACAAACTGTGCGGTATAATCGCGCTACACACTTACAATAACGGGCTAGAAGAAAGGATGAAGAAGCGTCCTCCCTGCACTCTCGGAGCCGAAAGACAAGTTTACAATGAACTACCGATGTCCAGGATTTTCGCTTGTTTTGAAACATGTTTCTTCAAAACATTAAAAAGAACGTGTAAAAAAGCACATTATAATTATGTAAAAACAGGAAGTAGGTACATCTTCTTCTATGCTCTATTTTTTTAGATAAATGTATTGCTTTTGTGCAACAAGAACAGTTTATTTATAGTTTATATTTATATAGTTTTTTGCAACAATTAATAGAAAAAATAAATTGACGAATGTTAATCTTCATCTCCCTTTTTCTAGTTTCTTTTTTTTTTTAGCAAGATAAGAAAGAACATTAATAGTCGTGAAATGTGGGTCAGTCACTGAAAAAGACACTTTCAGGCAATGCATGTAAGCGAAAACATTTGAGATATACGAATATCAGTATTATCGCAATGTATATTTAGCTCGCAGCATCGGTAAACATCCAGTTACGTTCCGGCATGCGATTAGAGGACATAAGTTTAACTAGCGCTTCAATTCGTTCGTACATACATACATACATATACACATGTAAAATTTTGTCTGTCTATAATTTCGACGTTTTGTGTTATAATCAATCATTTATATTAAAATTTATGTAAATTCTCCCGTAAAAGATTGGTATGTTATATTCGTAAAATCTTTTCTTTCGTGTGTTTCAACAAAATGTACATGAAAATTTCGCAACAGACTAAAATATCTTTTCGTTCCACAATAACGAATAAGTGTATAAAGAAAAGAATGTAAAAAGTGCTTTTTAAAAGATTCCGTTGGCTAAATATTTCACGCTGAACAATTAAAGGGAGTTGCATTTCAAAGGGTTGTAATTTTAATAAACTGATAAAGAAAAAACTGATGACTCATAAGAAATCATATATTCTATTTTTCGAACAAACATGTTTCCTTTTAGGATTATATCCCGCAGGTATAATTTGTGTGTAATTTCATTTTATTTAAGATCTCATCGCTAATCATGAAAATTTTCAAGTTTCTTAAATTTCAAGTGTCAAGTTTGTTGTATGAAAAAAAAAAAAAAAAAAAAAACAATTTTGTTATATCTTTTTGTTAAATCTTATAGAAAACTGGAAAATGTACTTACAAATAGAGTCGTCGTTCTTCTTCGCGTAGTTAGTTTTATTTTTCTTGTTTCT